ATATATATATATTGGCTTCATGGATGAAGTCAGATAGATTTTGATTGGTCCCTCCAGGTAGGGCCCGACGATTCCTGTGTTATTTCGACCGTTTTTTTAAATCCCAGCATTAAGTCGTGATTATCGTTTAGATTGGCTCCGGTCAGACAGTCATCCTGCTTTTAGAATGGCAGTGGATGGCACTAAATTTCACCCATCTTCTGCGTCGTATAAATTGGGATGTCAACTAGCATTGACCTCCATTCTGTCACCTTTTTGGCTCATCGCTTTTGCGTTGGAGCATTGTAACCACTGTGGCACTCGGTTTTCGACAATCAGCAATAAATTTCACTAATTTTTCATCCAGACAACTTCACTTCAACACCACACTGGCTTGATCGATGACGGACGAACCGAGGCTCCTCATACCGTCACGAAGGGACTGGATCTTACCGTCGTGTGACGGTTGGCGCACCTCGTCGACTCACTGAGCTATAATGGGGGGGGGGGGGTCCCCGCGACACTCGCAGGGGCTCTCATACCAGGTTGGTCAATGGCTAGAAGTTTGACGGACACAGTTTCCTGATCCTCCAGGTTGGGGGTTGGAACATGTGGTGACGTCTTCCGTAGAAATGGTAATGCATTTGCATTCAATGCCTAACCGCTGCCTTGCGGCTAGGCTTTTGAGCCAAAGGCTTTGATTGAGGACCCTAATCGTGCTCCTGCCTAGGTGTGGGCGCCCTGACGGTATCCCAACCCACGTACAACCATGAACTGCACACATACAAATAAACTCATGCCACATCGGCCGTCGCGTGGTGCCATCAGCCGGGCCGCCTTAATTGCTGCATACAGTGAGGCGGGTAAGCGAAAACAGGCTACTGCTGACGTATACGACAGCAAAGCATCGGTGTTGAACACTGACGTCATGCTGTCGATGATGATTATCATGAGCCGTCAGAATTTTCGTCAATACCCTAGTGTTTTTGTTGAAGGTGTAGCAAGAGGGGTATAGAACCGTGCACCAATGT